ATTTCAGGGACCCACCAGACCAAACCTTTAGTGAAAAAAGGAGACAAAAAAGAGAAAAAGGAAGAAAACAGAGAGATTCCAGGCCCCAGCACTACTCACAAGAGGAAACTATCCCTGACCACTGATAAGGGACAGAAGAAGAAACAGAAAATGTAAAATGTATGTATGTATTTTAATTCTAAATAAAAATTGAATAAAAATCAAAATCTGTGTTAGTTTCAATTTTGTTTCTTGGTAATGAGGTTTTCAAAAAATGAAGCTAGACTGTGAAGGGTGACGTCATAATCACGGATTTGAGTCGCTGCCAAGTATTTACCTGTGTAGTCAGCATATTTTTTGCACACGGCTCTAAACAAACTTGGCTCGCTGCCAAGTATTTACCTGTGTAGTCAGCATAAACAAAAACGTAGTACCTACGTACCAATGTAAACACACCCTGTATTTAGGGATAGGTTAGGGGATAGGGTTAGTTAGGGCTAGGGGGATAGGGTTAGTTAGGGTTAGTTAGGGTTAGGGTTAGGGGGCTAGGGGATAGGTTTAGTTAGGGTTAGGGGTTAGGGTTAGTTAGGGTTAGGGTTAGTTAGGGTTAGGGTTAGGGGTTAGGGTTAGGGTTAGTTAGGGTTAGGGTTAGTTAGGGCTAAGGGGGGATAGGGATAGTTAGGGATAGTTAGGGTTAGTTAGGGCTAGGGGGTTAGGGTTAGGGGGTTAGGGGCTAGGGTTAGGGTTAGGGTTAGTTAGGGTTAAGGGGCTAGGGTTAGGGTTAGGGGGCTAGGGTTAGTTAGGGTTAGCACTGCACTCAGTTGACCCATTTATCCCCTCTACCAATCAAATCTGATCACGTGATTTCTCTCAGCCAATCAGAATGCGGTCCTAGCGGGGCTGCTTATACTACTGTCCTTCCTTAGGCAACGTAAAATGCAGACCCCATGGGACTTCCGTCAACTGTTACAAGGTTGCAAGAAATGCATCTCGTCTACAAACACTGAAAACCAATATGCATACCTGAAGTGCATCAACTGGTACAAGAAGATCGTTGAAAAACTTTTCTTAATCAAGTTGCACGTGTATTTGGCTTTTTAGCACTTTTCCGACATGACGTCATACATTTCACGGTTGAGTAATTCTGAACACTGATTTCAGTGCATAGTAATCAAGCTTCTCATCTGACCAATTTTTGTGATTTTTGGTCATACGGTGAAAAAATATTCGCATATTATGTTACCCTGCGTTTCTTTTTCCTTTCAGTATTTAAATGGAATAAGTCAGTTTGTAAGTTGTTCAAATATAAAGTAACTAGGGATGTCAACGAGTACCCGGTTAACCGGGTACTCGATCGAACGTCCGAGTATCGAATACTAAAATCGTTACTCGGTTACTCGGATGTATATTTTTGAATGTTTCTAAACTTATTAATAAATGCATTAAACAATCTGTTTTGTAAAAGGTAAAATGCTCATTGCACTTGTACATGCAGTAATTAGGATTTCCCACGCCTCTAAACGGCCGTAATTGCCTGTGACCGTGTTTATACAGTAATTATCGTGACCAAGCACCTGTTACCTGGCTTTTCTCACCTTCGGCTGTCTTCTACCCTTATTTTTGGTTTGCTTTAATTATTTGTTTTCACTGAACATCGTTTAAGGTCTAATTTGTTTAAATAAATTAAATAATTTTGTCAATTCTCCGCGAAGCCGTAAATGACATTACACGTGCGATTGTTGATTGGTTGTGTTTGATTACATGCATGCCAATACAAATGGTTGAAGGCAAAGGCTTAAAAAAACGGATTTCCATCGTTTCATCAAACTACAAAATACCGTCCCGTAAAACTATAAAATATAGGAGTGAAAAAGTATACAAAAATCGTAAATCCGCTCTATTAGGAGAACTTGATCAAGTTCAAGTTGATACTGTACAGAGATCTGACGACTGATACCTGGTCGTCAAACGCGACAAAGAGTTAGATTATTATTTTTTTACAAAAACACTGTGAACCTTTTATAATAATTTTATTTCTTATGTTTATCTGATATTTAAATAATCTTTATTTAAATTTCTTCAAAACAAGTGCTCATCAATGTTACAACAGAAATACATTAACGGGTAAATCTCCCATCCGAGCATTTTGTTTTATTTCTACAAGAGTTTACAATGTTTTACAGTCATCAATTTACTTATTCATATTTATTTACACTTTTTACCAAGTATCCGGGTACTCGATCGGAAAAACGTCCGAGTAACCGAGTACTAAAATTGACCGATTTGACATCCCTAAAAGTAACCATGTTGTTTTTAATATACATGCTGTTTTTAATATACATTTATCATGAACGCTGTACTGCATATTTATAATATAATAATATTGTCTTTTCTATTAAATATTTTTATATATAATGATACCAAAAAAATCATCAAAAACCAGATACATGTAACGATGATCATTTCCATCCCTCAACAAATAAATTATACACTATCACGTAAAATTATAGTGAATATGTCTAAAACGAGGTAAATTACTAACGTATTTTTTGTTTTTTCCCGATCATGACAAGGAGCACACTGCGGATGTGACCGGTTGGCAGGGACTGCTCACTCCTCCATGGCACCTGATCCTACCTCTGATGTTTTGGAGGTCCGTGTTTGCTGTTCTCCTTTTTTTGCATTGTTTATTGGACTTTAATTTTGAGATTGAATAATGTTCTTGTCTCCCTATACAGTGGAGCCTCATTTATCCGGACGCTTTGGTTCCTTTACAATTTGTCCAGATAATGAGATATGTGAAGCGTCCGGATATCTGAATTACCAGCTAAACAAGACAAAATAACATTAAAGAATTCTGTTCCGATGAAAAATCGTCCGGATACTGAAGCATCCAGATATCTGGAGTCCGGATATCTGAAGGTTCATTGTATTTCATTTCATACATGTATATTCAAGACTTGTCTTTTGCACCATTGGTTCCTGTGCAACATTTAATTTTTTGTTGTTGTAGTTTTGTAGTCAAGTTAGTAAAAATCTTTTGAAGATGGTTTCTAGATACATGTATGTATGATTTCGAGACATGGTAAATTTCGTTTTTATCACAAAAGAACACAACTTTATCATACATTGTTGATAGTAATGCTTATAATTATAAGAAAAAAAATCTGTTTAATATAACTTTGCAAATTTTGCAAACAGATACATGTAAACGAATACAAGATAAAGAGGTATGTTTTATGGTTATAATAAGCAATGACAAAAACAAAAATCAATAAAAGTAATATGATATGTTCTCCATTTCTTCCTCAATTGCGTTGTTTGGTTGTTGCATTCTGCTTGTCTTTGTGGTGGTTGCGGTGGAATATTACAAGAGCGAAGTCTTTTGGACAGCTGAAAGTACAAGATATATGTATTTCTAATAGAAATAATTTGTTTATTTAAACATATTTAAGCGGTCTGCTCAAGGGTTTTTACACGATAAATTAGATTTCAGGAAATATCGTCAAAATATTTGTCAACAATTTAATTCATACACAAATGTACAATACATGTAAATTGGTTACTACAGTTATTTGGGAATACATGTAGTATTTTAACTGACATGTTTCATTGTCTTTGAATCTTTTTTGAGAAATATAGGACTTATGTTGAAAACTATGTACATAAACTCAATATGTAAACTTAAATAAAATGTGTTTTTTGATTGCGCACAAAATTTTATTTGTGTGTTCAGATGTTACATGTATTTAAATGAATAATTCTGAGACGAATTTAAAATGCTGAATGCGTTTTAAAAGGCTTTGGTTTAAATACGATTTATACATATTTTGGATTTTAATGACAACAATAAAATGGATGACACTAAAAGTTCGTAGCGCCTGTTTGGGTAGACATCATTATGTAACATTATAAAAGGACGTAACATAGTTTTTCTTTAAAAAAAAGAACTTTCTTTCAACGTACCATGTTCCTCGAAATCAACAGCGTAACATCTTAACTCCGAAGTTCTACGATAAAGCAATAAAAGAAAATGTGAACATATATAAATATTTCAAGATCCCAGGTAAATTCTTTTCAGCAATACAGTAATTTAACAAACCATCATCTATAGAATAAATATAACAATAATATAAAATAAATATAACAAACCATCATCTAATAATAAATTAAATATATTATTATTTTATAGTTTTTTTCCGTATTGGAACAAAAATGAGATTTTATGAATAACTTACGTACGATATTAAAAGAAAAAATAAATAATTTGTTTGAAAAAACAATAGGACATTTGAAGCGTTCAGCACTTTATGATTTTGTGTGATTGTTTGATCTGAAAGGTATATTTATTTTAATTTACCCGTCATTATTGGAGGCCTCGACACATAGTTCTACCGTTTTCCCTGAATGTGTTCGTAAAGATTTAAGAAGGACATCCACAGAGCAACTGTTATCGTCAGAAGTGTTGAACATATGTACCATAATCTCAGATGTCGGCAGAACTGAGACGTCAGGGCTTTAATAAAAAAAAAAACCCTCCTTTTTACCAAGTACTATATGTGCCTTTGATATAATACAATAAGGTATATGAATTGTTACTGGTGAAAAAAAATTCAAAGTGTACAAATGGAATATATTTTGGAAAATCCATTGCCTGACGAATGCGTCAGGCAACTTTACTTCAGTTTTCCAGGGTACGAAACTAAAAGTTGAAAGCTACGTGTAGCCAGCTTTATTTTTCGTAAACTCTTATTTACGAACTTTATACATAGGAAGCTTTTTGATGAATTTTATTCAATATGTGTATGATTTTGACAAACATTACTCATTTTTCAGATTTCTCATAGTGATCTGAATAAGGATAGATTTCCGATACTTGTAGATGCATGCTTACCACCTATTACTGCTGATTTGCTTCAAATAAAGTAACATGTGACACTCTTGGCCCGGAGAACACGAGAAAGAAGAAGAATTGGTCGGGGATGGACTGATGAAGATTTGCTGAAATAAGAGGACAATGTTTTATCAAGTGAGTGATCATTTATCGGAAGAATGATAAAAAAAACTTTATATTCATTACAACTTTAAATATTATTAGATTAAGTTGTTGTCTTTTAACAAGCCTATTCCTCAAACTCTAGTTCCTAATGTTTTAGTAACACTATCTATATCTTCATTAGCATTTGATTATATATACCTATATTTTGCTCAGAAAAATGTCTTGGTCATATTGCAAAACTTCTAACATGTTTAAAATGTGATTTTTTTCTAAAAGCAACTTGCATAAAAAGTAAGTCATTAACCTACTTATTTGAAAACGTAAGGTGCACCAAAATTATTCAATTATAATGTACAATAGACTGTTTTACATTGCCATAAGTGAAATTTGTGCCATCTAAAAAATTGAATCTTTAATTCAAGCATAGACTTTAATCATTCCCTAAAAATGAAAATGAAATATATGGAGATAACGAACAGTTATCAAGATCAAAATTCTATAAAAAAATACAAAAAAATGAGCAAGCATGGGCCTCTAAAACATTAGAGATGGGATCAGATGCCATAGAGGAGTGAGCATCCCCTGCCGATCGGTCATAGCCGCCGTGTGCTCTTTGTCATAATCGGGAAATAACGGAAAAATTCGTCGTCAATTCAGTAAATGAATAATGGACTAACAATTAGTATGAGAAACGTCAGTCAGCGTTTGACTCAGTGATAAATTGTAATTGCTTACAATAATATTGTTATTACAAATAATATACAATAATAAAATATTTACAACGATCGTAATACCTTATCTATGTTATGAAGGCCTTGAGATGATACGCCTGAAATTGAAATGATAAGATAAAGATCAAGAAAGAATAAAATTCTCTGTATGTAAATCTACATCAATACATGTATTAAGGTACATCATCTAAATATAAAAAATAATGACATCACCACAAAGTTTGCACGATTTACGACAAAAGACAGCCGTGGTTGGATCTGAGCAAATGTTGTGAAGAGCTGGCGGATTACGACAGTCATCCACACTGACGTCGACGCATGTGTCACCTGTGTCAGAATCTAAAATGAAATAAAAGATATTGTAATTACGCTTTCGTTTTTGTTTGTAGGTGTTTTTTTTTTTAATTTCATTTTTTGACATACCTGAGGCTAGCGATGAAATGCTAAAGCAGACTTTGTCTGTTTCAGTGCTGCAAATTAAAAATGTTAACATGCTTGTAAAATTGAGGAATTTTTTCGTATGGACGTCATAATGTTTTGTTTAAGTGAAAATGAAGCTAAGGAGATCATGGTATATTTTTAATTGTCAGTATAAAATCTTATTAGGTTCAAGTTTTGGGATTCATATGTTAAATCATGTTTATAGAAAACGTTTTGATGGATTATCTCTCTTTTTGTTTTTATTCCGTAACGTCGGTCAAAAATTCAAACCAAAGTCTGAGGTTTTATCACATTTTTCGTGACAATACTTAATTGCAGAAAAAAAGGAAAGTTCTCGTTTAAGGAAAATAAAAAAGAAACAAACATATTTTTAACCTGACGACGCTGAAAATCGCATGCACAATTTCTCTTCAAACACAAAATACTCTGGGTTCATTTGATCCATTTGCAAAATAAGACTGTTCATTTACATAATTAATCATGAAACTGTGCATAGCCACTGGACTGATTTGACTGTCTCCCTGTCTTTAATTTCACAAAATCATGTTGTTTAGTCATATTTATCGAATCTATGATAAGAATTGATTAAAAACAAATAAGTAGCATGTAATGTTTACATGATGAAATTGTTTGAGTTCTCGGTTCAGATATTTGAAAAGCCAAAGATACCAATACAGAAATTGTGAAATGGAGTCGACTGAAATTAAAGAGAGCTGAAGTACCGTTTTCAAAAACATCCGGAAGGTCGAGTTCATGCTGTCATGGTCATATGGAAGACCAAGGACATAATTTGGGTATATTGATGTCAATTTTTATGAATTATTTATAAGGTTCGTAAATTTAAGTTTTAACTGTGACGTACGAACTTTATACAGACGGATAAACTTTGTTCCTTGCTAAATTAGTAAAGATAGTTTATTCCTAGTGAAGAAAGTATGAACTCTCGTGCAAGCGTTTAGGAGTTTATTTGCAAAATTTATTGATTTGTATGTATAGATATATTGAATTCTTAATCTTGCCTATATGCATCCGGAGACACATTGACACAGAACTGGTGGGAACCCTTTTTCTTTGGGGTAAATATTACTGTGACTAGGTAGTCTCCAGACAGCCTTGTTTCATTTATTTCCTTAACCTCTATACTAGAAGGATCTGTGCTTGTAGTAATGTAGAATCTGAGATTAAAGAAAATAATCACTACAAGTAAAAAATACAGTCCATGTTGTTTTATTCATTTGTTTTGTAAATCATAATAAAATAATAAAACTACAACAGAAAATTGTAGTGGACATTGAAGATGAAGAATAATTATTATTTCTTGAATTTCAAATGTTCTTCCACAATAGTTCTGTATTTTATCGACTTAACCTCATGCAGTGTTTTGTTAACTCACCCAGTTCTTTCAGTTACTAAAATCTGAACTTGGCAATCTTCATTCAAAATGCAATTCACTCGTTTTGGTAGCAACAGGTTGCCGAACAGAGGCTGAATTGACGTCGTTAATATGGTTGTTTATAAATCTTCGAGAATTGCTTTAATCTCACGGATAAGAAATTTTGGGATTAAGAAACTTAATTGATAGCATGGGTCTGCCGTGTCAGATGTTTTACATTAATTAATTTAAGGATGTAAATTAAATATTTATGTAAACCCACTGACAATAGTTTAACTCTGTTTGATATGAAGAAACAAAATTAAGATTAAGTGAATTGAAAAATGCCATTTATTTACATTATAAATGACTGTATGAAAAAACACAAAATATCATGCATATAAACATATAATGCAGAATCAGAAAAATTGAACAATTGAAAATATAATCAATTTTGTTTCAATAGATATCAAAGGTGGGGTATAAAAATTCGCCACATTATTGTTTTTACATAAACGCAATAAACCCCATCCTTAAACTATTGTCTTCTAATGAATTGTTAATATTAATGCACAAACATAAATACCACACAGTTTCTTCAAAGACGGACAAGATGCTCCTTTATAAGTGATAGAAGGATCTAGTTCAAGCTCCATTAACCAGCAGTGTCCATAACACGTTATAATTAAGTTCACGATCCTCTGTCCTATTTCATCAAAGTTTCTAACATCATTATTACGGCCAACCAGAATCAAAAAACAAATTATACATTATATAAACACAACCAGGCGAATAAGTCAGAGGCCCATGTCCCCGTGACTTATAATTAATGTCGAAGAAAAATGAACGCAGTTGTACCTCCATTAGTTTTAAGTCAGAGGCCCTTGTCCCCATGACTTACATGTAAGTTCGAAAAATCAAAACAGTCCATCCTTTATTTGTAAGGTTAAGTCAGAGGCCCCTGTCCCCATGACTCAAGTTTGAAAATCAAAACATTCCATGCTATATTTATACGGTTAAGTCAGAGGCTCATGTCCCCATGACCTAGGTTTAAAATTCAAAACAGTCCATGCTATAAAGGGAAATTAAATATAAATCTGGAAACTTATATTCGCTATGTCCAAAAACCAGCTGATCGTAGTATGTGTTGATATTTAGTGCATAATCAGAGGCCCCTGTCCCCATGATTATACTTACTGCAGAAAATATTTAGATTTTCAAAACAGGTATGCGTATGTATTTCTTGTATGCGTCGGAATGCCATCGTCCCATCTGTTTAATCTTTTCGTCTGAAATACCCATTTCGGCCGCTGACGTTGCCGCACCAATTCGAAAACTGTGAGTTTTATAGAGTTTAGAATCGAGACCCGACCACTTTAAAGACATTTGTAGAAAGTTTGTAAATTGTTGCCTTTGGATTCCATGACCATCAGGGTAAGAAAAAAGGGGACCCATGACTTGACCCCTTAGTGTAATAAATGACAACAGTGCTTGCACTGGACAGAGCCCTTCATTGGAATTACTAGCCTGTAGAAACAAGGAGGGAATATGTCGGCCAGAACTGTGCTTGAAAGAATCAGGTCTAATTTCTAGGCCTTCTAGTGTGTTTGATTCGTCTCGAACAAGTCTAACATTTTCCAGTAACAAAACATTACCTCTGTGATGTCGAGATGTGATAGTTATTTCCCCCACTCTTAAGAAGGCATGGAAGGCCAACAAATACATTGATTTTAGCATGCTGCGCTGGTAAAACGAGATACCTAAATGATCAAGCGAGTCAACTAAATTTCTTAGAATAGACGGTGTTATAGGCAGCCTCGTATCCCCTGTACCTGGTTTTAACTTTTCATACCCTTGTAGCATTTTGCGAATTACAAAAAGCTGTGTTACGTCTTGATAGCCCTTTAATTTAAATATATATCCTAGAGCTGATAGATAACTTTTCAAGGTCGACGTCGCTATGTTGGATTGAAAACAAAAGGCTACAAAAAGTGCGACATGTTGAGATGATGGTGGTAAGATGGGGACATTTGGATATTGGTTGAACATGAAGGACTTATAACATGTAAAAGCTCTATCGTATGATGACCTAGACGCTTTAGAAAGTGAACTCTGCAAAATGAAGTCTGCTAGGTTCTTTAAAGGTTGAGCATTGTTGGAGATATTGGTGTCGGCACTGGATTCATAGATGGGAACCCCTCCTTGAATTCTTGTACCTGTAAGCGAGAAAGTTTATCTGCAGCAACGTTAAGTACACCAGGGACATGACTTGCCTTAAATAAAATGTTAAACTGCATTGTCTTGACGACAAAACGCCGCATTAATTTCATAATAGTTGGATCAGTAGAAGTTTGTTTGTTAATAATGTACACTACAGCTATGTTATCAGAATAAAAATTTACACAAGAATTTTGCAGGACGGGGCCCCATAAATCTAAGGCCAGTACAACAGGCAATAGTTCCCTGACTGTAATGTGTAGCTGGCGCCACTTTTCAGGCCATTTCCCACAAAACCAGTTCGTTTGAAAAGTACCCCCAAAACCAAGGTCACTTGCATCTATATAGAGGGATAATATTCCAGAAGTAATCCATTTATCTTCTAAAATTAAGGATCTGCCATTAAAATGGTTGATGAAAATTGACCAGGCCTCAAGGTCAGCCCTAGCTTCCTTATTCAAGTACTTCTTAAAGTGCGGTAATCTTAAACCTTTGGTGAGATCTATCAGTCGTCTGAGAAATGTGCGGCCAGGTAATACAACAGAACATGCAAAATTTAACAAGCCAATAAGAGACTGTAAGTCGCGTAGTGAAGCTTTTTTCTTCCTTTTGAAACTATTTAGTGTTTCTTGCAATTTGAGAAGCTTGTCAGCTGGCAATCTTAATTCCATTTTTTCTGAATCAAATTCTAAACCTAAAAATGTAATTGTTGTTGTGGGATATACTGTTTTCTCAGATTTAATGGGAACTCCTATATCTTTGCACAGGTTCAAAAAGTTTTCCAGCGAATTTAAACACTGATTTGTGTTGGCTGGACCAATGAAAAGGAAATCATCTAAAACATGTACACAGGAAGCATTGTAATGATAGTCCATAACCCAGTGAAGTGATGAGCTTTTCTCAAAAAGATTGCAGGAATAACTAAGACCCATGGGTAAAGTTTTATCAAAAAAAAATAATGACTTCCTATCGTAAAGCCTAGTAATTCGTGATCTGAAGGATGAACAGGAATGATTTTAAATGCATTCTCAATATCAGTCTTCGAAAATAAAGCCCCCTTGCCATACTTTTTAAGAATTCTAACCGCGTCGTCAATTGTCTGATACTTGATGGAACAGAATTCTTGAGATATTCCGTCATTAATTGACTGACCTTCTGGGTATGACAAATGATGGATAACCCGGAATTCGCCAGGTTGCTTTTTGGGCACTAAGCCTAAGGGCGAACTTTGAAAGTTAGTAAATGGTGGTTCTTGAAACGGACCAGCAGCTCGACCAGAGGCTAATTCTTTGTTTATTTTTTCTTGAAGAATGTCTAAATGTTGCTTAGCGGATTTTAAATTGTCGCTAAGCCTGCGATGTCTTTTACCCTGAAAAGGTATTTTAAATCCTTCTCTAAAACCTAAGACCAGGAACTCCCTATCAGGTATATCGTAATTTAATAGCCATACATGTAACCTATCAGGGTTAACTGGGGTAACAATTTCAAAATTTTTATTTTGTTGATTTGGATGTGGACTTTGTAAATTCTGTCGGACCATGATTACTGCTAACTCTTTGTCTTCCTCTAGCATTTGCGGTTGATTTGAGGGAAGTGGGACAGACCTTTCTACTGTGCTCTCCCTCGCAGAGCTGACAAGAATGGGAAAATTTACACTCCTTTCTGTTGCAAATTCCCTGCTCGGAGTTGTTAAAGTTGAAACAGAATGACTTCGTGTAACCCCCTTTCCCGTTGATATTTGTGAAGGGACGAAAAGTAGTTTTCTGATATGTTGATTTATACTTTGCTTGCAAACCGGCAGCTAAGGCCTCCTGATACAACTCAATGTTAACGCGATCCCACTGAAGCTCCCCAGGAGAAATTTCTCTCCATTGTCTAAAAGTTTTATCGTAATTGATTGCTGCCGAAGCAGTTGACTGATCAGCCAGCTTTTGGACAATATTGGCATATTTCATTAATTTTGATACCTCGTTTACATGTTTTTCACAAAAAATGCTGACGAAAATATGAAAGGCTGCCAACCACTGTTGGACGGATTCAATTTTGCATGGATTGTTTTCCTTAACAAAAGTCAAACCTTCATCTTTTTCTTCTACAGAGAATTTTACGTTTTTTTTTTAGTTGGCTTGAGTAATGACCCGAACTCTACAAATTCATTTGCCCAAATTTTTGCTTTTGTTTTTGCGTCAATCCCGAGTGATAAGGGTTTAGAAATACTGTCTGATGTATGTATTAGCGAAAAACTGTTACCATCGCTAGCCTGGGAAAGCGGCTCCGTGGACGTGCTTGGTAATTCCTGAGACACCTCTGGAGCTTTATCTGTGTGCTCCTCGCTCTTATTATTCATTGCCGAAAGGACTGCTTCAGTGATTTTTGGCAGGGCTAATTGTATAGCGTTGTTCACCTGCTCGGCAATGTCAACAGAGGCTGATGTCTGCTTTCGACGTTTTGCCGGGCTTGAAGTCTCAGAGGATGGCGTGTTCCCGTTTGTAGTGCTCTTTGGTCTTTTCTTTTTGGGTGGCATATTTTGGCCTACAAAACGAGACACCTGTCTTAAGAATGAAGACACTCATAGTTCAAAACCTTATCTGCCTACATACATGTTGAATTGACTTTGCATATTAACATGAAAAAATTTTAAGTATAAAAATGCCCTTGATCGCCAAATTAAGCTTCTAATGGAAATAATTTTTCCAAGCCTTATGGTGCCATAGACAGCCAAGGACACCCAAATACTTAAGTGTGCAAAAGTTTCAATAGCAGTCAATTCACAGAGGCCAAACATAGGCTATTTTGACAGATCACAAGGGAAATAATCAAGAAATTGCCAAAGCGGCATATCATTTACACTTGAGCATAATTCTCAGGTGTAACATACATCAGCGTGTAGCGACACTTCACACTTATAAGCTGCTAGCCATAACATAAAAGCAACTGCTCAGCTGTACATATTACAGCTCATAGCGACATATCGCAAACATCAAGATGCCATGTGCATCAAAATGAACAGAAGCCATTTCTACTGTGACATATCACACTGTGACAGTGCATATATAGTGACAGATCACTAAAACGATGCCATGTGCATCAAATGACTAGCAGCTATCGTAAAATGTTCTACACTCTATACATCATAATATTTGTTGGTAGTACATCGATATTCAAAATTCAAGTACATGTATCTTGAATGCATAATTACTACAAAAATTAAAAATAAAATAAAACTTATCCATGTTATCTAATAACATGAATATGGTGAAGATAAACATGCCATCACTTTTGGATAGCCTTCAAGGAGTGCAATATTGCCCCACGTAGATTCCTATAGTATATCATCATCCCATGTTCTTTGTTAAAGTGAACGCCATCACAAAATATCGGATATTTAGAGTGTTTAATATTTTTAAGCTTCCAATATTGCACACTCGTTTTCTGTACCAGCAGACATTTCAATTCTCTGTTGAATTTGATCACAAGTTCATTATACGATGTTGTGTCTAAAAGTCGAGTCCTAAAACGAGGCATTAGCTGACAAATTTTCACATGTGCAATATTGTAGCGTGATGCGAAAGTTTCTGCGATGCATAAAAGGCGCAGGCTTAATTCCCTCACAAACGATTCATCTGCTGTTACATTGTCAACATCATTACCTCCTATATGTAAAATGAGTACACCTGGACTTAGATCAGCGATTTTCCTTTCTAACATATTTATATGAGCCGAACATGATAATTTCCCACCACTTATTCCAAAATGATTAATCGCCGTTGCGGATAAATTGAAGTTAGCATATTCACAATGTTCTCTGATATACGATTGTAATCTATTTACATGAGAAGATCCCGCAATTAGAATAGACACCATTGTTTTGAATTATATGCTTTCACCAAAAAGCTAGTTCTGTTCCACAATAAAAAATTCAAGAACATAGGGATCCGACATGCCGAGGAAAATAAACATCAAAAATTAAAATCCATACCTTTCTATCCCAATTGAATAGATATGAAGAGATCAACAATTAAAATTACAGCAGAATTTTTGTTTGCGCGTTCACTGACAAGGCTCTGTGAGGGAATGGTGAAAGGCGTGAGAACCCGCGCGCATATCTTAGCATCCGACGGCCGAGCCTATAAATCATATCAATTTACAGAAAAATCTTCGAGAATTGCTTTAATCTCACGGATAAGAAATTTTGGGATTAAGAAACTTAATTGATAGCATGGGTCTGCCGTGTCAGATGTTTTACATAAATTAATTTAAGGATGTAAATTAAATATTTGTCATATATCTTACTTTACTAATAAATGTAAAAAAAAATTACCTATAGATATAAATGCTCACAAAATAGAAAGAAAAAATATTCTGAATTAATTCTGATGTTGTTTTGAGAATAAAAATCATTTTAAGGTGCCCTTTTCATCAATTTTTAAGAAGAGAAATTGAGAAAAGATAGTGATGCCACCAAAGAAAAAACATCTAAATAGAAAATGAAATAATAAATAAAACAAACTAAAATATACCTACATATTGTAAATTCAATTGATTGTTCGTCTGAGGTATGCCAGTCTCTAAAAATAAAACATCAAATAAGAATTCCTTTTGTAGTAAAACTGGATAAGAGAGTTTGAAAGCAGAATGTTTAAACACAATACAGACCTGAGCACTGAGTTTGAGTGGCTCAGTGTCACTTGTACTATAACACAATAGACCTAGTATTGAGTTTGAGTGGCTCGGTGTCACTTGTACTATAACACAATACAGACCTGAGTATTGAGTTTGAGAGGCTCAGTGTCACTTGTACTATAACACAATACAGACCTGAGTATTGAGTTTGAGTGGCTCAGTGTCACTTGTACTATAACACAATAGACCTAGTATTGAGTTTGAGTGGCTCGGTGTCACTTGTACTTTAACACAACACAGACCTGAGTATTGAGTTTGAGTGGCTCAGTGTCACTTGTACTATAACACAATACAGACCTGAGTATTGAGTTTGAGTGGCTCAGTGTCACTTGTACTATAACACAATACAGACCTGAGCATTGAGTTTGAGTGGCTCAGTGTCACTTGTACTATAACACAATACAGACCTGAGTATTGAGTTTGAGTGGCTCAGTGTCACTTGTACTATAACACAATACAGACCTGAGCATTGAGTTTGAGTGGCTCAGTGTCACTTGTACTATAACACAATACAGACCTGAGTATTGAGTTTGAGTGGCTTGGTGTCACTTGTACTATAAAACAATACAGACCTGAGTATTGAGTTTGAGTGGCTCGGTGTCACTTGTACTATAACACAATACAGACCTGAGTATTGAGTTTGAGTGGCTTGGTGTCACTTGTACTATAAAACAATACAGACCTGAGCACTGAGTTTGAATGGCTTGGTGTCACTTGTACTATAACACAATACAGACCTGAGTATTGAGTTTGAGTGGCTCGGTGTCACTTGTACTATAAAACAATACAGACCTGAGCACTGAGTTTGAATGGCTTGGTGTCACTTGTACTAAAACACAATACAGACCTGAGTATTGAGTTTGAGTGGCTTGGTGTCACTTGTACTATAACACAATACAGACCTGGGCATTGAGTTTGAGTGGCTTGGTGTCACTTGTACTATAACACAATACAGACCTGAGCATTGAGTTTGAGTGGCTCAGTGTCATTTGTACTATAACACAATACAGACCTGAGCATTGAGTTTGAGTGGCTTGGTGTCACTTGTACTATAACACAATACAGACCTGAGCATTGAGTTTGAGTGGCTCGGTGTCACTTGTACTATAACACAATACAGACCTGAGTATTGAGTTTGAGTGGCTCGGTGTCACTTGTAGTATAACACAATACAGACCAGAGCACTGAGTTTGAGAGGCTTGGTGTCACTTGTACTAAAACACAATACAGACCCGAGCATTGAGTTTGAGTGGCTCAGTGTCACTTGTACTATAACACAATACAGACCTGGTCATTGAGTTAGAGTGGCTCAGTGTCACTTGTACTATAAAACAATACAGACCTGAGTATTGAGTTTGAGTGGCTCAGTGTCACTTGTACTTTAACAAAATACAGACCTGAGTATTGAGTTTGAGAGGCTTGGTGTCACTTGTACTAAAACACAATACAGACCCGAGCATTGAGTTTGAGTGGCTCAGTGTCACTTGTACTATAACACAATACAGACCTGGTCATTGAGTTAGAGTGGCTCAGTGTCACTTGTACTATAAAACAATACAGACCTGAGTATTGAGTTTGAGTGGCTCAGTGTCACTTGTACTTTAACAAAATACAGACCTGAGTATTGAGTTTGAGTGGCTCGGTGTCACTTGTACTATAACAAAAAACAGACCTGAGCACTGAGTTTGAATGGCTTGGTGTCACTTGTACTTTAACACAATACAGACCTGAACATTGAGTTAGAGTGGCTCAGTGTCACTTGTACTATAAAACAATACAGACCTGAGTATTGAGTTTGAGTGGCTTGGTGTCACTTGTACTATAAAACAATACAGACCTGAGTATTGAGTTTGAGTGGCTTGGTGTCACTTGTACTATAAAACAATACAGACCTGAGTATTGAGTTTGAGTGGCTTGGTGTCACTTGTACTATAAAACAATACAGACCTGAGCATTGAGTTTGAGTGGCTCAGTGTCATTTGTACTATAACACAATACAGACCTGAGCATTGAGTTTGAGTGGCTTGGTGTCACTTGTACTATAACACAATACAGATCTGAGCGTTGAGTTGGAAAGGCTAGGTGTCACTTGTACTATAAAACAATACAGACCTGAGCATTGAGTTTGAGAGGCTCAGTGTCACTTGTACTATAACACAATACAGACCCGAGCATTGAGTTTGAGTGGCTCGGTGTCACTTGTACTATAACACAATACAGACCTGAGTATTGAGTTTGAGTGGCTCAGTGTCACTTGTACTAAAACACAATACAGACCTGAGCATTGAGTTTGAGTGGCTCGGTGTCACTTGTACTATAACACAATACAGACCTGAGTATTGAGTTTGAGTGGCTCAGTGTCACTTGTACTATAAAACAATACAGACCTGAGTATTGAGTTTGAGTGGGTCGGTGGGATCAGATGATTCATGGTGTTGTCTAGAGATTTGACATACTCTCTGAGTGTGTTCAACCTCAGTAGATACAGCTCCCTTTTATTTGGAACGTCCTTTGCATCGCTGACAAAGATTATGGATAAAGATGATGTAAGATGATTACATCACTAATGTAAGCATTATTAAGTTAATCAATATTTCAATGACTAATTGTACTTCTGCTGTTTTTTCCATATATATACCATATCACACTCATACCCCTATCTCAATTAAGCCATGATTTAAATAAACTCAAATCTTCACTATACTTAAATTGGAATTTTGAATTAAATAAAGTGTAACTAATTAAATTAAAGTATAACCATGTTGTTTTTCAAAAGCTGAAATTTGATTAAAAAAAAAAAGACAAAAACAAAACGGGCCTTATAGGTCGCCTGAGTATCATGTTACAACTTTTCAACAATTGAATTTGGTTCGTGTTTTAAACCAGAGGCCATAATTTAAATTCACAAGTTTGAAAGAGGCACCATTGCTTAATATCATAATTATACACTTAGTATTCTTACTATAGTTACTTTTAAAATACCCAAAGGTAGATCAGAATAACAGAGAAAATGCACTTCCGCTTTATAACCAGTTGTGCACCCCACCCCACTGGAGCCACTGACCCTGGGGCCACATATTTCAAAATTTTGGAAATTTTATCATAAATTTTATTTTATCATAAATGGTTGATTAATACCAAAGAGCAGATTTCAAAGCATTAATTTATTTTCAGACTATGTAATCCCCCCCCCCCTTACCCGTGACCCTGGGGGCATGAAAGTAATCATTTTGCTAGATGCTAGATGCACTTTTCTTCATTACAAATATGTATATTAGATCGTTTGTATAATACCAAGGAGCAAAGGAAAAGATTTTCTAAGAATTAGTATATTTTCACTATATAATCAAAAGGGCCCCCTTACACCAAATGGCAAAACACCTGACCCTGGGGCCATAAAATTCACAAATTTAGTTGAGGCACACTTGCTCATGATAACTATGTACTTAGTTTATTTATTTAATACCCAGGAGCAAAGAAGAAGATTTTCTAAGAATTAATGTATTTCACTATATAATCTAAAGAGCCCCGCCCTATCACCAGAACCCCTGACCCTGAGGCCATAAAATTCACAATTTTGGAAGAGGCACACTTGCTCGTCATAACTATGTACTTAGTTAGTTTATTTAATACCCAGGAGCAGAGAAGAAGATTTTCAAAATCTAGGATTAATGCATTTTCACTATTTAATCTATAAATTCCCACCCTATCACTAGAACTCCTGACCCTGGGGCCATGAATTTCACAATTTCGGTAGAGGATCCAATGCTCATTACATTCTTGCCAACAGTTTGCCTGCTTGATGTCCAGGAGTAAAGAGGAAGATTTTTAAAGATTGCATCAATTTTAGTGGTTTTGGCCCCACCCCTCAGACCCCAGGGGGGGGGCAAGGACCATGAAATTCACGATTTTTGTTCCACTTCACCCATAGATGTTGTATACTAAATTTGGTTGAAATTGGTTCAGTGGTTTCAGAGAAGAAGCTGAAAATGTTCAAATGTTTTAAACACACGACACACGACACACCACGACGGACGAAAACGGATAGCAATAGGTCACCTGAGTGACTCAGGTGACCTAAAAAAACTGTGTCCTTTCCTGCAATACCTTTCTACATGCATCTTTAAACGAACTTGATTTTTAGTATTAACTTAAGACTGCTTTGCTTAGGAAATTAAAGAGAATGTTCACTCTTAGTTTTAGCAAAGACTTAGTAAGAAAAGAAAAAAAAACCTTCTAATTCAAATCCTCAGTTTTCACAGACCAGGAAGTAAAATACCTGTCATAGATAACACTGGTATGTGGGTCATGTGATCTCTGTACATAGCGACAGACTGTTTTCTGTTGATGGCCGACAAGACAGGCGCCATTTAAATCTGCAGGTAACATTAATTGATGAATTTATTTGATAATTCTCTAATGATTAAATATACAATAAGATAATTTTTAAAAAGATTGACAAGATTTGCTTGAACAGTATTGTGTATATACAACTACATGTACTAAGCATAAAATGTATTTTAAATATGTGAATTCTTAAGACTCTATACATGTACCCATAAACAAGGACAATTTAAAACTATAAATAGAAAAAAAAGTGTTTTCGGGTAAAGATGCACTTCTAGTGTTTCAGCATTAGGAATAAAAATTGGCAAATATATACAAAAAATTATTAAACAATATAACTTTAGCATTCCCGACTTATTTCAAAAAGCTTTCTTACATAATTAGATTTATCAAAAATATGACTTTTAACCAAATTATCTTCAAAAAGTTTGCTCCATTGCTGTATGCCTTTCAATTCTTATATTGATATCATCTTAAAACCTGTTGTGAAATTAAGGCAACAAAAATCATATTTCAGCAAAGTGATGTTATGTAATGTGCAATTCATATTCAGACAAGGAAAATGGGCATTTGCACTCTTGCATACCTGGCCAGTGGAATCCTTTTAAATACCATGGAAAGGGGTGGGTTGTTAAATATTAGGAGGGATCAAAAAGTTCGCAAAATTATCTCTCTCTCTCTCTCTCTACATAATAATCACAGTTCACATCGTGTTACATTATATATTGCTTCATGTTTATGACGTCACAATATGAAAATGACATCAATATATAGATGACTTGTGACAAAGTGCATGGGCGAATCAGTTGTACCCGAGCAAGGATCAAACAGCTGTAAGGTTTTAAGTATATCTTTTGGAATCCTTTACAGTACATGTCAGTAATGTATATTAATTTGTTCACCAGAGGACTTGTCAAAAAATTCATTAATAATTGGATAGATTAATTGCTTTTGTGAAGGTAGCTAGGTATTCGGTTGAAATTGGCCAAGTGATTCATGAGAAGTTGACATTGTTTACTTATGGATTATGGAGGGGCGCCAAACAGAATTTGATCCAAAAAAGTCACATGAGCTTATCTCAGCTCTTTTAAAAAGGCCATCAAAATATGCCATAATCCATTGCACTCCAACACATCAAATCTCAAGACTTAGAAATTAATTCTCTGAATTTCCTTATTTAAAACTTTAAAAGTATACATTGAGTCATTTTATTTGATTATTTTATCGAAGTGCTCTAAGAATATTTTATCAATTGCAATTTTTTTTCTATACTAAGCAGATAGTTCAGATGATGGACCCCCGTACCAGTGCCCAGGATGTGATGCGATGTGACCTGTGTGCGACCGCTGTGGTACAAATGTACTGTGATACATGTCTTGTTAATCTTTGTAAGGTCTGTGTGGGAGAACATACTATTTCTGATGAATCCAAAAAACATGAAATTGTTAAATTTAGTCTAAGAAAAACTACCCCCCACTACCCTGCATGCTTATTTCATGATAAAGAACGATGTGAAATGTACTGTAAACAATGTGACCTTCCTGTGTGTGTCACCTGCCTTGCTTCTGATCAACATCTAGGCCATAAATTATTAAAAATCTTACAAGTTATAGATAAGCAAAAAGAAAATATCACCAAAGACCTAGTTGAATTAAATGAAACAATTTACCCCACCTACCAGGACATTGCCTCTGATGTACAAAAAAGAATGAGTCAGTTAGAAAAGGAATATGGGGATCTCTCAACAGCCATAACAAAACATGGAGAGGAATGGCACAGAGAAATTGAAAAACTTGTCCAGAAACTTGAAGCTGAAGTTGATGAGATGAAAAACACACAGTTACAAACTCTTCAGAAACATCTGGATGAAATAAACAAGAAAATGTCTGACATCAAGGATGAAATTGATTCATCCTATACTGTTGTAGAGTCTAATGAAATTTCAAAGCTTTTTAATTTAAAATCTGTTGATATAGAAAGATATGAAAATCTGCCAGAAAAAATTGTGCCATCTTTACCAAAATTTACAGAAGGCAAAATCCAAGCAAGTGAACTTTGCAAACTGTTTGGAGCCTTATTACCAAGTTCACTCACTTTGGATAAACATGGCTACAGCATGAAGACAACACAGAAATCACTAGAAGCTGGATCCTCTCCTCCAGTCAAACAGCTGCTTGATGAACCAGAGACTGTCACCACCATAGAAACTGGGTATAGATACTTGATCGGTGTGGCCTGTCTGAGTGATGAAGAAATCTGGACAAGTGGAGATAAAAACAGAACCATGAAACTCTACAGCATCAATCAGGGATCACTACTCAAGTCAATCAGAACCAAGACGGGGAACACACCAACTGATATAGCAGTGGCAAAAAGTGGAGACCTACTTTATACCAATAATAAAGATAGAACTGTGAACATTGTGAAGAGTGAGAAGATAGAGGTGATCAGATTACAGAACTGGAGACCTAAAGGTGTCTGTAGTTCTTTCTCTGGTGACCTCCTGGTTACCATGATCAGTGATGATTATAAACAAACAAAAGTTGTCTGTTACTCTGACTCCACAGAGAAACAAACCGTTCAGTTTGATGATAAAGATAAACCTCTCTATTCATCTAGTTCTGATTATATAACTGAAAACAAAAACCTTGATATCTGTGTGTCTGACACTGGAGCAAATGCATTAGTGGTGGTCAATCAGGCCGGGAAACTGAGATTTAGGTACACAGGACATACTTCTTCTCCACAGAACAAACCATTCCGCCCACAGGGAATTACCACAGACAGTCAGAGTCACATCCTTACAGCTGATAATTATAACGAGTGTATCCACATCATAGACCAGGATGGACAGTTTCTCCGTTATATAGAATGTGGACTTAATAATCCGATAGGACTATGTACAGACACATATGACAATCTGTTTGTTGCTGAATATAACAAAGGTCAAGTGAAAAAATTAAAATTTCTGAAGTGAAAAACTTATTAACAGTTTGATTATCCCCATGGACATAAAATTTTACAGTGAGGCTAAACTTTCAAATAGACCATGAAAATTTTTAAGACATACATGAATTGTGTGTTTATGTTTATGCATATTATATAATCGACAATGTGTACAAGAGAAAAAAAACTGTCTAACTTTAAAATGTAAAAAATTAATATATACTTTTCAAAAAAAGAAACGCATAGTATGAACAATGCCCTGAAAAATGTATGATAGTTTTGTCATACCTTTTATTTTTGTATGGATACGATGTATTCGAGTGAAATGCATGATTTTTTTAATGCAATTGTTAACTTTACAGCTATTCTACAAGTCTCACAGACAAAAAGACCTGATTTTGCAAAATTTCCCCCAAAATTTTTATCTCAATTTTCATTTGTTGAATTCCGATCAATTCCTTCAGGTACAAAGGGGCTATCAAAAGCGGGGGTTCTCGATATTTTGAATCTGATTTTATCTGAAAAATGACTCTTCCTAATGCCTAGGTCACATTTCCCGGCCGGTAGCCGTAGACCGGTGGTAATCGGGGGTAATCCGTGGTGTTGACGATGGCCCAACATCGGTACACATCGGTCTAGTAGTCCTTAAAGTATCAGTCACATTATCAGCGATGGGTACACGATGGGCAACCAATGTGTTTTATGATAAAGATGGCGTGGTTGCCGGCCGGACTTACAAAGGCCCAGCGATGCATTGCTAATCATAAAACGATGTTCCAGGATAATCGGCCGATGTATATTACATCGCTCATTCATTGGTGAACATCGTTCGTACATTGGTCGACTACGGGCCAATGTTTGGTCGAACATCGACCAATGATTGGCTGTTATCTGTTGAACACCATTCAACTCCCCTATGACCTCAGATTCAACGGATATTGGACGATGCTCTGCCATTCATCGGAGATCCTTGATAGATGTGTTAATGTAGGGTTGCCGATGAGGAGCGATGTCAGGCATCGTTGGAGACGTCGCTGAATTTTAAGTACAAATTATTTCCTACCGATGACCCCACCGATTCGCAAAATGGCTGCAGTCACCGTCCGATCACTAGTGGTGCCCGGCCGGCAACCACGCCATTTTCATCAAAAAACGCATCGGTTTCTCATCGTATACATGTACCCTATCGTTGGATAATGTGACTGATACTTAAAAATGCTGCATCTGAATGTTGCGTAGCACAAAAAGGAAAATGGGCAACTGGAAGCAGGGGTACCGCAATCTATAATTGCAAGAGGTTTTAATGTTACACACAGAACATATCTAACCTATAAAACATAAACCATTAACATTGAACACCCAATGTTCGCAAAAAATATGGCAGACTATGTGTGACATCAGCAGCACAGCATCACTTCCGAGGATTACGTAAATTGCATGAATGTAATGCAAGGACGTCATCTAAAGCATTAGCTATCCCTGAACTGTACAGATCATCTAACAAGACCGTTTTCAGTTGACTAAGAATTATTACAAGAGGATTATTGATACCATTGTTCCGACCCCACAACACCCCAAATATCGACTTCAAAGATCTCAGATCAATAGAGTATGGCCACAGCATCACTGCTAAACGTTTCGGTTAACCTACTAGTCCAGAATGTTTATCTGAAAGCCTCTTATGAGTTTAAGAGTGCTAATGCTTTGTAATGAATGTTAGACAGATAACTGCCTCCAGGACGTTAAAAAAGTTGGTGGTGGTAGTGTAATGATATGGAAAACGATATTATAAGAAAGTAAGATTGATTTGGTTCGAATTCAATGGACTTTGATGGAAAAAGGTACTCTAACCATGTTCTACCTGCTCATACCCATTCAATTTTGCAGCATCCTAGAGCCGTAATGCAGTCTCACAATACACAGCCACATTAGGGCTCGTTTGACACACCTATTCTTGCAAAGAAAGAACAACCTTTTTCAGCCACAGTCATCTAAATCGCTAGATTTAATCGAAATTAAGCAGCATTGGACAAAATGGATTGACATGATTTGCCAAAGACAATTGCATCCCCAGACTCTGCAACAGCTGACCAAAGTTCTACATTTGGAGTGGGGGAGTATTCCTATACATTTTTTACTACACAGATTTGCTTCCATTTGATGCCGTTTGTGTCTGCGGGGGGCATACCAGATATCGATCTTTAATGGTCTTAAACTGACTATAATTTTAAAATTGTTGAGTAATTATGACATTTAGATAGTATTCCTGTTGCTTACCACGTTTCTGTTTTATCAATGCATCATTTTACTAAATAATCTTTATGTTCAATGTGTCACTAAAATTATACTATGAGTTTCTTTTTTTGAAGAGTATATATAAAAAATCCTACATGTATATGGTTCTGTACATATAAGGAACAACAGAATATGTTTTATGGTGGACCATGGAGTTTTATCTCACAGTTACTTCCCAGGCACATAAGAAGCAATTTCAGTTTGTGGGGACTGTGCGCTACCAATAATTCCTTGTCAAGCTTAAAAAAAGATCATCTTTTTTTAGGAGACAAAAAAGCACATAGTAGCTAAGTTTTCTAGCCCTTCTGTTCCCCATTGTATTCCAACATGTAATCCTAAATAAACAAATGCTTTTAGTTTGTAAACATGGAAGATCAATGTAGAATTCAAAATCTTTGAGGTTGATAAAATCAATGTAGTAAGACATAATACTACAATATTTTTTCCCCTGTTTTCAATACATATTATTTGTAAAATTGGTCATATTGTTTCAGATGAAAGAGGCTTAATGTGTTTCAGTGCAAGACTTCCTGTTACTAGCATTCACAGTAATAACGTTTGCACATGTGCAACACTTGGCAAAAAAAGTGAAGTGTCTTCACTAATGACAGAAGGCAAACCTTTGTTGGGTTTTTGAATGCTTATGCCCTTTAAGTAGTGGCCAAGGGTAAAATGTTTTTTTTTTAAATAGGTCAAACTCTAAGGTCAATGTCAAGAAGTCATAAAATGGTGTTACTCAAAGAAAGATCTTGTCATAAGAAAATGAAAAGACTGGCACAAACTGTTCAAAAATTTAGTCAAGGTTTAAAAAAAATTTATATCAGTAGATAAAACTCCAAAGTAGGAGTAGGAATAGGGTCATACAAAAAAGTCAAAACTTGACGTAGAAATTAAAACAGTAAAAAAAAGGAATATTATGTTTTTCAAGAGAGGTTACATTCCATTGAGCATTTTAAGAAGCTAGCCTGATGAGTGAAGTCTCATTAAAAGAAAACTTAATACTAAATCAAAATATTTAATGATGTACCTCTTGACTCAGTACTGTTTTATTTATTACAGTGGACACTTTAGTAAATATATTTTAAATCTAAAGTAATTTTCGTAAAATTAGGATGAGTTTTTTTTTTAGAGTGAACTGTTTACAGTGTTGCCATAGGAGCTTGCAGTGCAAATGGGTTTTTTTTTTGCCCCACCCATTACACTTGCTATCACAAACACAGCTAAGATACTCAGTAGCTCTGTATCTTTCAGGGTCATTATGAGAGTTCCCTCCTCCCGGCCAAACTGTCCGAACTTGAGCCCGGTGACGACGTCGTCCGCCTTGATGACGTTGACGAGGTACTTCTTATAGATGTGAACCTGACAGTTATTGAGGGTCACTATCACCGCCTTAAAGCCCTTACTCTTGTAGTCTATCACCTCCATAGTAGTCATACTCCCCTGTAATTTTACCGTCCACAATTTCTTACCCTGAATAATGGAATTTTAGAAGGGACATTCTACAGAAGAGATAAACAATTTTCTTGCTGCAGTTTATATTTTCATTCATACATGTATCTCAAAACTTTGAATATCTCTAAATTATATTTCTAAGCTTGATTTTTGAATTCTTAACTTCTTAGCTTATTCTGTTTAAAAGTATTTAACCTGGAATTATCTCGAATCCTCGACTATCACGAAGATTTGTTCTCGGTCACATTGAGTTTGAGATAATGAGCTTTGTATGTATTTTTTCTTACCTTAGATGTGTAACAGTGTAGAGATTCATCCATCGTTCCCATGTAAATTGTTTTGTTGATCCTTTCCAGTCCTACTGGCTGAGAATTCAACTCAATACAGTTCTTTGTCGGGTCTGTTGACCCTCTGAAAATTAATTTTTGAGTTGAGGCAAGTTTAATTTGACATAACAGGAGTATATATAGCGAGACGGCGTTTTCTAATATCAAGATTATAAGCCCCACAAAGGGAAGTATTTCCGGGAAAAGGGTTTCTTTGGGGGATACCATCAGAAAAAATGGGGCTTGGAATTTTTGGGGGGATCACTTTAAAAATTACACGTTTTAATGGATAAAATACCTCCAAACTAATTAGCATCGCGATGCCAATATCAGGAGTATATATAGAGAGACGAAGAACATTTTAATACCCCAAAACTAATTCGCATCGCGATGCTAATAACAGGAGTATATATAGAGAGACAACGTTTCCAAATATCAAGATCACAAGCCTCACAAAGAGAGAAGATTACAACATATTTTTTTTTGGTTTCACAATGCATTCAGTTTTCTTAAAAGTGTAGTAGAAGATCGTGATGAGCGACTCTTCAATGTTCTACCTCTACTGAAGCGTGCGGGATTTCTTTACACTGTCACACAACGTACAAACACAGGACTTTTACTTCCTAACCTGTTCTGGAATACATTGTACATTGAAATCCGTGCAGAAATAAAATATTCGATATGAAAATTTTAAATATGTTACTTTATTGTAGTCAATGAAATTGATCAGAAAAAGAATAAATGAGAGTACTAAAATGTATTGTGCATTTACATGTAATCGCAATGGATAGCATTTATTCCGTATATGAAGACATTAAACGGAATAAAGTGCATACCGTCCGGGGTATATTGAATTTTGAAAGTTTTGTTTTTGAAGACCCTGGAATTTATTCCGTTATCAATTATCTCAACTTATTTCTATATAACGGAATAAAGTACATATAATGAATTTTGATAGTTTTGTTTATGAAGACATTTATTCCGTTAAATGTTTATCTCAACTTATTTATAACGGAATAAAGTGCATATATTGATATTTGATAGTTTGTTTATGAAGACTTTTATTCCGTTAAATGTTTATATCAACTTATTTATAACGGAATAAAGTGCATATATTGATATTTGATAGTTTGTTTATGAAGACATTTATTCCGTAATATATTTATGTCAACTTATTTTTAACGGAATAAAGTGCATATATTGAATTTTGCAGTATAGTTTTGTTTATGAAGACATTTATTCCGTTAATACATTTATCTCAACTTTTTTTATAACGGAATAAAGTTCATATATTAAATTTTGATAGTTTTGTTTATGAAGACATTTATTCCGTTATATTTTATCTCAACTCATTTATAACATAATAAAGTAAATATATATTGAATTTTTTAGTTATATAATTTATAGTTTTGTTTATGAAGACATTTATTCCGAATTACCAAAAATGCATTATTTTTTATACCGTAATTGAGAATAAGGTTATTTCTAAAAATATCACGGAAGTAACCAATTTCCCATACAGAGTTGTCTTTCGTTCCTCTGTCAGACATGACTTATGTATAAGCCGATGACAGAGAGTGGGAATTAACGGAATAAGCATAAAATCCATAAATATTGTTGTTTAAAGACTAAATTTTTAATTCTAAGCTCGCAAAACTATAATTTGATTTACGTCAACAACGTCAAAAATTATTCGCATCGCGATGCTAATAACAGGATAATGCCGCTTTGAGATAATTAAATGTATTTGTACATCAGGTAATGCACTTTTGGAATCAACATGATAAAGAGTTAACACAATATAAAGATATTTTTAGATCACATAAGAAAGAGTTGACATAACGTTATAATATATCCACATCACGGTATGGAGTTTTGACATAATGTAATAAAGTGTTGATATAATCTAAAGATATGTTCACATTATGTTATACACTTTTTACACCACGTAATAAAGCACTGACATGAAGGTAAGATGTGTTCACCTCACATCATGATGCTCTCGCCGTAAAATAAAGATAAGTCCATATCACGTAATAATGCTTTGATATAATAGAAATATACACTCTCAGAAAGGAATGGATTTTTGACTTCATGTAATGATAAGTTTAATTATAAAACACAATTTACTTGACGTAATGCAATTTTGACCTCACATATTAAAGAAATGAAATGATGTAAAGAAACATTCATTTCACGTAATAAAGTTTTAACTCAATGTAAACACATTATCACTTCACATAATTAATTTTTTACTTCAAGTTATGAAGTGCTGACATAATGAAAGGATGTATTTACTCTATGTAATGCAGCATTGGCATGATGTTAAGATATTTTTCATCATCTCATAAAAAATTGACATAACGTAAAGATACGTTAACATCACGTTATGATAAATTGACATAATAAATGCAGAGTTGTATGCTATAAGGCAGTGATGGCGTTCCATAGCACCACTATATAGGACCAAGATATACCTCGGGGACCAGTATGACAGGTGGATGGGAAAAAAGGAAGAACTCGAAGAAACGCATGCTGGACTAGCCAAAATTTTGCTCGACAGGTTTACTAGTTTACTAGTTTCCTTCACTTTTTGTAATATTTTAAAAGTTATTATAATAACAATAACAATTTTAATACTTTGAACATGGCAAGTATAACTTATTTTGTAAAGAAAATATATTTGAACAGACCGAATACTCGTATTTTTTGCACTTTGAAATTTGTTGGATTTTGAGGCCCTCAAAAGGGTAGTTATAATGTATACATTATTTGTATGTCTAAAAATCGTAAAAGCAACATTAAATAGAGATATATGCTATATACGTATAAAAGTAGTTTATGTATATCTTTTATTTGAGATAATTGATTTTTGGCTATTGATTTTTAAAATATATATTGCATATGCCCATTACTATGTATAGATGCATGTACATGGAAAGAAATTTACAATTTACACGTTTTCAAAACAAAATCTAATGTATTTCACTATTTGTTAGACTTTCATCAGACACTAACAGTGAGACAGAGTCAGCTCCTTATTGGCTTAAAGAAAATGTTTCTTCAACGCCTGTAAGAAAACTAAAAGCACAATCTCTTGACATTCCTCCACCCGATGTATCAGAGATTTCTTCAACCCAAAGGTAAATGTTAATAGAGATTGCTTTATAGTCTGATACGATATACTTTTATTCATTTGAATATCTGTTTGCTAGATATACCATTGTGGTGCATTAAAATGTATTGTTATAGGTTTCTGGTCGACTTGCAACCTGAGCGACTTGTAAGCTTAAGCAAGTCAACTTAAACCCCATACGTCACCTCATAACCAAAGGGCAATTCGTAACCAAGATTGTGGTTTTGAGTCAATTAATTTGACTCCTTCCATAAGATTGATATTTGTCAATTTTTTTCAGTTTGTATAAAGATTTGGAAGAAAGGTGAATTCATCAGTAATAATGATAATATATACTAAAAAATTTAAAATGCCATTGAAAAAATTGAATACCCTACAGACCCCATCATAATAACACAAATTTTATTCTACAAGGAAAAGAATTATTACACTTACAAGTGCCTGTGGTATAATTTTGGTGATTTCTTAAATTGTTCTGGAACAATGTCAGATGTATAAAACTGAGAGATAATTACCAAGTACACCCGGTACATGTATAAGTAACCCTAATTATCATCTTTATAAAATGATGTGTCACATCATAATGGTTAGGAATTATTTTAGTTGACATATTGGGTTCGAGTTTACTTAGGAACGAGTCAGCAAGGTTACGAGTTTACTTGGTACCTTGTTTATGCATGGTCTTGTTTCTTATTCATTTAGTGAGTATACAGATACAGATGAAGCTCCAGCTTTCAAGAAGCCAGCGATGAAGTAATGAAGAATCTCCTGGGTAAATTCAAATAATTTCCTTTTTTAATTTTGAAGATTTTGCTTGGATATTACATATGTAGATATTGAGTATGAATTACATATAACCCGTACGAAAGTTGGAGGCGGAATAGGCACGGCTTGGGCACGGCTAAGACACGGAATCCGCACGGGTTTTTAAAAAGCCGCACGGGTTCTGCATGTCCAAGACACGGACACGGCTTCCGTGTCTGAAAGTTAGGAATCCTCACTCACAGAAACCCGTGTGGAGGCACGGAATCCGTGTCCCAGGGAGACGGTTTTTAACTCAGGCAGGTTTGCTTCAAACTATTTATTTATATCTCACGGCTTTTCACTGAGCATGCTCAATCATAACTTCCTTTATTTGAATATTAAATTGGAGGGATTCATGGTCATGAGCTAAGTCAATGTGTCTTTTTGCTCTATTTTAAGGATATTTAACTAATAGATGTCAGTTGGAATTGTATTTCTGTCAGTCTGGGATAATTTCTTCACTTTTGAACTAAATGCAGTAAGTGTAATCTAGAATAAATAAGTCAATTTTTCAATTTTCATGATCTTCCTGTATTGCGATGTTGACAATGAACATGATGAAATAGTTTAGGTTTATTTGAATGACTTTATGGGCTTTCCCTAATCCTTTATAGTATATATTTTATGTGACATCACTGTGCTAGTGAAAGTTTTATTTAAATTAAATTCTTTCTCAGATTGTGAAAACTTATAGCTACTAGATTAAATTACAATTGAATATTGTACATTATCATTAAAATCTTAATTAAAAACTAGCATGGATTGTAACTGGTAAAGTTAATCTTTAACAGAAAGTAAATGGACACATTCATATAAGAGTTTTAACTTTTGAAATTCTAAAACTAAGCATTAATGTAAAGCAGTGTGAAGTTAGTTTGGTTTCAGTCACCATTTTGGCATCCACAGCTACATCAGGAGATTCTCTAAAGGCCATGACCTAGATCTAGACAAATGCACAGATCCCGTGACTCCTTATATGGTATACGGCACGGCTTTTTTGACACGGGTTTCCAAAAAACCGTGTCTCCATATATGGAAAAGGGCACGGGTTTCAGACACGGGTTTACAGAATCCGTGAGTCCATATATAGAAACTAGCACGGCTTTCTGACACGGGTTTTGTAAAACCGTGTGATCT